GCGACAGGGCTTGAATAATTTAAATTTGTGACTAATGATTCTATTTTTATATTATCTCCCCTGGAACACTTGCACGCACTAATCAGCACACATACGCCCACTCTTCACTTCAGATTAACTTGCGCACGTAGAAAAGCTTGAAATGACTTTCCATCACCCTTTGGTAGAATTGCTTAGACTATCTTTTTTAGGGTTTATTTTATTTTTGTTTTTGTGGATGCATGTGTGTGTGTGTGTGTGTGTGATGCAGTGCCCACAGAGGCTGGAAGGGGGCATCAGATGCCCTGGAATTGTAGTTACAGATAGCTGTGCGCCACTATCTGTCCCAGCGTGAATTCTCTGCAAGGGCAGCCAGTGCTCTTCTCCTGCTGAGCCCGGAGCTCCCCAGAACAGGTGGACTGACTGCCCATGTAGCTCCAAGGGTCCCCATCTCTGCCTTCCCAGTACTGGGCTTTCAGTCCCAACCACACTCAGCTTGCACTCGGCTGTAGAGATCCCTAACTCAGTAGAGATCCCTAACTCGGTGGAGATCACTAACTCAGTAGAGATCCCTAACTCAGAGGAGATCCCTAACTCGGTGGAGATCCCTAACTCGGTGGAGATCACTAACTCAGTGGAGATCACTAACTCAGTAGAGATCCCTAACTCAGAGGAGATCCCTAACTCGGTGGAGATCCCTAACTCAGTGGAGATCACTAACTCAGTGGAGATCACTAACTCAGTAGAGATCCCTAACTCAGTAGAGATCCCTAACTCAGTGGAGATCCCTAACTCAGTGGAGATCCCTAACTCAGAGGAGATCCCTAACTCAGAGGTGATCCCTAACTCAGGTGATGATCCCTAACTCAGTAGAGATTCCTAACTCAGTGGAGATCCCTAACTAACTCAGTGGAGATCCCTAACTAACTCAGTGGAGATCCCTAACTCAGTGGAGATCCCTAACTCAGTGGAGATCCCTAACTCAGTGGAGATCCCTAACTCAGTGGAGATCCCTAACTCAGAGGAGATCCCTAACTCAGAGGTGATCCCTAACTCAGGTAGAATCCCTAATTCAGTGGAGATCCCTAACTCAGGTCCTTCTTCTGCAGCAAGCACTTTACCCGCCGAACCATCACCCCAGCCGCAGACCCAGAGTAAGTCATCCTCCTTTTAAGTAAAGGAAGAAGTAGGATGGGGTGGGGCGGGAATCAAAGAAGCATGTGACTGGGAAGTCCCTGGTTTTTCTGTGAAGCTCATCTGACGAAGCTCCTCCCTTCTGCCTCCTCCAGTAGGTGGAAGCAACTCTTCTGGTCCTTTGCATATCTACAAGTGATTCCAGCCCAGTCAGAAATCACAAAATTCCTTTTGTTAAAGAAGGAAGAGGGAAACCCCCTCTAGCTGCTTTTCAAACCCGGAGGGTCTGACTGCAGATCCACCCAGTTCAAATCTGTGAGCAGCCACCAGCCAGGTTGCCCATAAGCCCTTGAAATGCAGCTAATCAATATAGTAGTTCCAGTGACCCCTAAAGAGTAGAACAGATTTTTGTAGAGGAAAGTTTTAAAGAAATCTAATTTCCCCCTAGAGACAACTGAATGCCTAGTGAGTCCATTAAATAAGAATCGGTGGCTGTAGGAGAGCGGGGAGGGAATAGGAGTGAGTTCATGAAAGTTAATTAATACAACTGGACATTAAAGGGATCCCTGCCACAAACTCCCAACACAAAAAGGCTGGGGTTGGGATGTAAAGGAAGGACGTGAGAGGGTGGGATGAGGGGTCCGTTGCAGGGTTGGTGAAACAGAGGAAAGTAGCTACAGGGTTGCAGTATGCTTCATGTCTGACCCCTTCCTCCCTGTGAGAGCTGAGGGCCACACAGACACCAGGGCACCTAGGGACTCTGGATAAGCCTGGGTGTGGCTGCTGTGCTGGTCACTTGCTGCTCAGTGTTTAGGGGAAGGGACAGATGGGGAGGGGGAGAGAAAAGAGGAAGGGAGAGAAGAGGGGGGAGAGAGATGGGGAGGGAAGGAAAGGAAGAGAATAGAGGAGGGAGAGAGATGAAGGGAAAGGGACTGGAGGAGAGAGAATAGGAAGGGGTGGGCTGCTGAGAACAGCCTCACTTTTATTTCCCTGGTTTTCAGTGAGACTTTAATAAAAATGGTGCAGTATGCAATGAGAGACGTCCAGGGAAGAAGGGAATGGGCCGCAAGGGGAAACAGTGTTGCTGGTAGAGTCCTGATTCTGAACAAATGACTAGGGAAACTTCAAATATAGAACCAGAACTTTCCAAGGAAGGAACAAATACCAAGTACCCTGAGAAGGGCAAACAGTGTGACCACACCCTGGGACTGTCATCTGCCTTTCTGTTGGAAAATTAGGAGTGGGAGCCAGCTCAGTGGCTTCTGGGAGGTCCCATCACCTCTGGACCCCAGATCTGTGTCATGTTAACTGGGCTCCATGGATCCTTTAGCCGGCCATTTCTCCTCTGTGTCTGACCGAAGCACACTTAACACTTGGCTCTGAAAGGAATCTGGACAAACATTTAAACACAGCGTCCCAGTGTTAATTTGAAATTTGATTTTGTTTTCATCCAAAGGGAAAGAGGAATGGTGTTGTGCCCCATTGTCCATGTGTTTATGCTTTGAATTGTCTTTATTTTCCACGTTATAATACCACACTGTTATAGAAGTGCTAAATGATGTGGGAGGTCCTTCTGTATATGTGCTGCTTTTATTGGCTGATGAATAAAGCTCTTTTGGCCAATGACTTAGCAGAGTAAATCCAGGCGGGAAATCTGAACAGAGGTATATAGGAAGAGCAGGTGGAATCAAGGAAACTCCATGTAACTGCCGAAGGAGAAAGATGCCAGAACATTACCAGTAAACCACAGCCTCGTGGCTATATATAGATTAATAGAAATAGATTAAGATGTAAGAACTAGCTAAGAATACACGCGAGTCATTGGCCAAAGAGTTTTGTAATTAATATTGTTTCTGTGTGTTTAATTGGGCAGCTGGGAAATGGAAATTCAGTCTCTGTCTACATTAAACTTGCCTCAGTATCCCTCTGGTGATCAGTGTCCAAGAGGACAAAACCAAAATGGTTTGGTGACTTGTAAAAGGAAACCAAGAAACAAACAAACAGAGTCTGGGAAGATGAGTAGGTGACGTGCTTGTCTGGCAAGTTTGACTTAAATTTGGTCTCTCAACCTTGCATTCAAACAGCTTAAAAACAAAGACAAGCAAACCGAAAGTGGACACAGAGTTGTAATCCAGCACTGGGGAGAGATAGGGTGTGGGAGAATTATCTGTATTCTGTCAATCATGTATTTTAATAAAACGCTGATTGGCCAGGCAGGCAGTATAGGCGGGTCAACCAGACAGGAAGTAGATGCGGGGCAAAGAGAATAGAATAAGGTTACGGAGGAGGAAGGTCCCTCCGGCATTCCTGTGCAGACCACCGAAGAGGCAACATGTAAGCTGTCACATTGAGAAAGGTATGGAGCCATTATGGCTAACATAGATCAGAATAATGGGTTAAGATAAGTCATAAGAACTAATAAGTAGCCTGACCTAATGAGCCAATCAGTTTATAACCTTATGGAGTCTTGTGTGTGATTTTCTTTGTTGCTTGCCAGCTGTTGGGGTACTTGGAGGGATGGAAACCCCAACAAGTCGGCCCCTCATGTTACAATAGGGACAGGCAGAGCCCCGAGGCTTGCCAGCCAGTCAGACTAGCTGAACTGATCAATCAGGCCAATGAGAGACCTTGTCTCAAAAAATAAGGTAGATGCTACCTAAGGGATAACAGCCAGAGGTGACCTCTAGCCTTACACACACACACGCACGCGCGCGCGCATATACATGCACGCACATGCACACATGTACACACACATGTTCACACATACATATGTGCACAAACGCAATGCACAATGCACGCACGTGTGCACACAAGTGAATTCACACAAGAAAAATAATATTGTAACTGTTGAACACTTTTATAAATGCCTGGGTGCTCCCAGGTAGGCAGAAGATAGACACACACTAAGCACCTGCAATTGTATTATCCTATGAATCCTTGGCTTATGATGAAAAGAAACATCACTGGGTCCCTCGAGCCTGGAGTCCCAGACTTTCACCCAGGTTTCTGTTACCCAGCCTGCCTGTCTCTGACATAAGCATCCCCAGCCTCTGATGGGAGGGGTTAACTACCCAACAGCAGAACTGTAAGAAAATCCAATCTGACAGGCTTCGCCTGCCCCAGACTCAGAGAATTATCCATTCATCTGGCCTTAGCTATGCATTCCAACTGTACAGGAAATGTAAAAGTATACATACTAAGTCTACAATCCCCAGAGTGACAGCATTTGCTGACATTAAAGCCAACACTTTCACACTGAGACTTGATGACCTCCCTGGTGTGGTCACAAGCCCATGTTGGCAAACAGGCAAGAAGCACTTTGAGCAGACATGTGATCCAGACCACCGAAGTTCAGTCACAGTAGACCTGGGGTGCAGTCTCCCTGAGTCCACTGGTTAAGCAACAGCCCAACATGGCCAGTGGGGAAATGGACCCTGTCCCTCCACTGTCACAAGCTCCCCAGGAATGTATGTGCACGTTAAAGTTGGAAGACTGGGTCACAGTGTTTCTTTCCGTAGTCTAATGAAAATACAGAAATGGTCACAAACTTCTCTCACTTCTAGCTGTATGTCTATAACGGTCTGTTCTGTCCCTTTAAAAGACAAGCTCCGCCCACTCTTCCCTTCCTCCTAGGCCAGCAGATCTTCCTTCTGCTTCCAGCCTCTGCTCTCTCTGCCCTGCCTGTCTTCAGAAGTGGCTGCTGCCATAACTTCTCTCCTCTCTCCCCTCCCCTCCTCTCCTCTCTCCTCCCCCCCTCCATCTCTGAGATTTAAGTCACTTTTATCACCGCTACAATGAAATACACAACAAAAACAATTTCAGGAAGGGAGGGTTGATCTTGGCTCATGGTTTGATGGTGGAGTCCATCACGGTGAGTGTGCTGGTCCATCATGGTGAGCAGGCTGGTCCATCACGGTAAGCATGCCAGACAGTTTTACATCAACTTGACACAACTTGACTTGGTAGAGTCATCTGAGAGGAGGGAACCTCAGTGAAGGAAATGCCTCCGTAAGACTGAGGCAAGCTTGTAAAGCATTTTCCTAATTAGTGATTGATGGGAGAGAGCACCTGTGGGCTGATGGTTCTCAGTTCTATAAGAAAGCAGACTGAGTGAGTCATGAAGAACAAGCCAGTAAGAAGCACTGTCCCCACAGCCTCTGCATCAGCTCTGCCCCCAGGTTCCTGCCCTGTTTGAGTCCCTGCCCTGACTTCCTTCAGTGGTGAACAGCGATGTAGAAAATAAGTCGCATAAACCCTAAGTCGCATAAACCCTTTCCTCCTGTGCTTGCTTTTGGTCATGGATTCCTCATAGCAATAGAAATACTAACTAAGACAAGTTGGTCCTAGGACTGCGGAATTCTGTGGGGTGCTGTGGGGGACTGCGGGATTCTGTGCTGTGATGACCTGACCACAGTATTTTGGGGAGGATTTGGAAGGTCTTTGAGACTTTGGGGTAGGCTGTTCTGTAGGAGCTCAGAAGGTAAGAATGTTGAGGGTAACGCAAAAGACAGAGGCCTGGCCTGCAGTCAGTACGGAACACACCCAGACACCAAATTTGGTGCTTTCTCAGCACAAAGGAGATTTGCTACCCCAGAGGGGTAAGCAGGGTAGGGTGGGTGGATGGGAGTGAGTCTGGATCAGGCAAAGTTAGACAGCAAGCAGCAGGTGTTTTTGTAGGAGTGGGTTTGTTTGAGTTTTGCAAAACAGGGTTTCTCTGTATTGCCCCGGCTGGCCTGTAACTCTCTCTGTAGACCTGGCTGGTCTCGAACTCACAGAGTTCTACCTGTTTCTGCCTCCCAAGTGGCTTGGGCTAAAAGTGTGCACCACCACTGCCCAGTTTAGGAGTGGGTTTTTAAGGAGAAAAAGGGCAGTCTGTACTGGGGCAAGTTGGTTAACTCCTGATTGGACAGGTGAGCCAGAGTAACCAAACAATGAATTGTGATTGCTGGACCTTGGTGTTTAGTCTCAGGAATGAGTCAGTGACCAAATAAGGGAATGGACCTTGGGGGCTCTCATTAGGAATGCAATCTAACAGTTAGCGAGGGAAAGGGAATGGGAAAGGGCAAACTCTGTCTGCACTGCTTGGTCCTCCTAGCAAGCCATTCAGAGATGATCACCGATGCATTAATTCAGTCTCGAACCACAGTCCATGAGGTGGGGTTGCCCACATTCAGGATGGGTCTTCCCTCCTCAGTTCAAGCTCTCTGAGAATGCCCTCACAGACACACCCCTAAGTGTGTCTCCCAGGTGACTCCAAATCAAGCTGACATTGAAGATGAACTGCCACATTGTTTCCTTGGGATTAAAGAATCCTTACCTGGCTGAGTAGTGGTGGTGCACACTTTTAATCCCAGCACTTGGGAGACAGAGGCAGTAGAATCTCAGTGAGTTTGAGGCCAGCTTGGTCTACAAAGCGAGTTCCAGGACAACCTGGACTGTTACACAGAAAAATTCTGTCTTGAAAAACCAAAAAAAAAAAAAAAAAAAAAGCCTTTATCTGTTATCTGTCTGGGCAGTGGTGGCATACAGCTTTAATCCCAGCACTCAGGAGGCAGAGGCAGGCAGATCTCTGTGGGTTCAAGGTCAGCCTCCTCTACAAGAGCTAGTTCCAGATCACACCCCAAGCTACAGTGAAACCCCATCTCAAAAAACCAGAAAAATGCAAAGAATCCTTCTCTGGGCTTTGCAGGTGCTGTGGAACTGACTGTGGACAACTTCTGTGCACCTTAACCACAAGCCATTCCTTCTGCAGTCAAGAGAACACCTTTCACCCCATCTTCCCACAGCATCCCGTATCTTTGTGCTGTTTGTGCCTACAAAATCTTTGTGGTCTTTTGGGCTCCGTGCTTTCCTTATGCCTTTCAAATCTTACTGCCTTATGTCTGTAGATAAATGCGTAATTCTCTTTACCAAAGAAGTTTCCCTTTACCACAGATGGGGACCATTGCCAAAATTCACAGCTGGCAAAGGTGCACAGAACAGCTTATGTGGTATGCCCAGCCCCCACAGATCCATCTACAACCCAATTCCTGCCCCCAGAGTACAGGGAACAAAAGACTGGTATAAGTCAGAATATGGAGAAATCTGGTGTGAGATAGAGGCCCCTAGAAATGGCAGGGGAGCTATATCCATGCTACCAAAACAATATGGCAGCCTGAACAAGACCCAGATAATGGCAACACTAACAGATGAGCTCACATGAGAAAGGGAAACCTCGTGGCCCCATCCCTAGACAAAGAGCTACAGGCAAATGAGGAATTTGAGAATTAGTCTTTCCTGGAGATAAGCCCCTTAATTGTTTATCCAATACCAAGTGGTCAGTCCTGAAACAGTGTACATACAATCAACATACATTGACTCATCCTGCTTTCCTGTGTGTAGTCACACACGCTTGCCTGTGTGTGTGTGTGTGTGTGTGTGTGTGTGTGTGTGTGTGTGTGTGTAGCAATAATAATCAAAGGTGAAAAAGGCCACGAATTTGAAAGGAAAAAGGGAAGAGGGCAATAATGTAATTATATTATAATTAAAAGTTTTCTAAAAGAATTCTTATCTGTGGAAGCTGCGGAGGCCAGAGAAGATGAGTGGCATTTACTAAAAAATGAAAACATTCTGTATAAATAATATTGGAGTATAAAACCTACAAAGTTCCCCACAAATCCAATCTCATGAACGAGACGAATGCCCACCTTGCTCTCCTCCAGCCACCCTTACGAGCTCTGGCCTTCCAAATGTCAGGACTCCATTGCAGCCTGGCTAATTTTCTGCTGCTGGTTTGGCAGCCTTCTGTAGACAAAAAGGAAATGAGAGCAAGGTTCCATCTTTGGGTCACCAGGTCAACTGAATACTAATCAGGAAAACTGTTTATCTATTAAATGCTCCATTGAGCCCTTTAAATATCGCCTATGTGTCATACGTTTGGATTAATGAGAGAATCAATCTTTACCATATGCAAATTAAGGATGGAAGGAGAGTGTCCTCATGAGTCCCAGCTGTCCCTCCACATGCCTGTCACTAGGTCTCATTTAACTGCCAGACTCTCTTCTACTTGGCTTCTTGTTGTGGCTTGAAGCTCATTAACCCCCAGAGAGTTTGCATTCAGGCAGCTGTAGCCCTGCCCATGGCCTTCAGGGACCAGCTGGCTTGGTTCCTCACATCCTCTGTGCAGATCCAGGCATTGGCCGGCAGGGAACCCCAGCCAGAGCTGTGAGACCATCTCTCTGAAACTGGATGTTGATTGTACTGACCATAGCAGCTGTGTGCCCATGCCTAGGACTATAAAGGCGGGAATGTTCTAGATTCTCAGGAGCCAAATTCTTAGTTCCTGTCTAGAATTCCTCAGTGCTGAGAGCCCTGAGTGAGCATGAGACTTCTCAGAGTGGGCTGGACCTTCGGGTGTAGGGTAGCAAGCAGAGAGTAGACAGGGGTTTGTACCTAACTACAGGCAGAGAATCCAGCCAATGCCAGTGAGTGGCAGAAGTCTCTGGCTACCCGGGGACTTACCTACATTCTGCCTTTCTGTTGGACAAGCTTGCAGTCAGTAGTATGAAGCTGACAAGCCTGCTTGGGAACCTCCTGGAATGGGTTAAAACAGGAAGAGCTGGAATGGGTAACAAGAAATGACATGCTTAATTATTTGCTAAAGCCTAACAGTGGAAGATCTGGCTAGATCCTCTCAACAGTACAAAGTGCAAGGTTGTTATTATCAATATCTCCTTTGATAATGCGGAAACTGAGTTCAGGGAGGTTACATTACAGGCACAACGAGATCTTTAATGTGGTTAGACACGGCAGTGAGTTAATCTCAGCACTCAGGAGACTAAAACCGGAGATCCATAGTTTACAGCCAGCCTGGGTGAGGGCCAGCCTGATCTAGGGAACTAAGACCTTGTCTCAGAAACCCAAAACAGACTAACAACCTTAAAACACGTCATATTGGGTATGGAGAGATGATCTGTCATACAAGCACAAGAAGGTGAGTTCTGATCCCAGCACCCAATGTAAAAAGTGTGGTGCGGTGACTGAGTCTGTTATCTCTGTATTGGGCAGCAGAGACGGGGATCCTGAGAGGTCACAGACCAGCTGATCCAGCCAGCATGAAGTCTGGTTCTTTTAGGAGACTAAGCATTTAAATGGGGTTTGTGAGCAACATGTTACAAACTGCTTAATGGTGCCACATAGACCTGCTGCATACTTGGAACTGGGACAGTGTGCAAGGCTTGCAGAGGCAGTGAACATGCCACCAGCATGTTGGACTGGGTGGAGCCAAAAGGCAAAGCAGCCTTGGCCCAGTCATACCAATGCTTAGCATTTTAAGAAGCTCTCCAGGACAGAAAAGGATTTCAGATACACAACAGGACAGATTCAGACATTAAAAAACAAAAAACAAAAAAAAAACAAAAACAAAAACAAAACCTCTAAATGAGACACAGTATGTTTTAAAAATGTACATAAGCTTGGGAGAGAGAAGAAAAAGAGTAAAGAGACAGTAAGCATAATATAAAAGAGTAAAGAGAGTTATAGAGTAAAGGAATAAAGATAATAAAATAAATACTAAACTTGAAGAAAAAGTAATAGAGTATGAAAAATAAACCACGTAAAAATGGAATATACAGGGCTAGAGAGATGGCTCAGAGGTTGAGAGCATTGACTGCTCTTCCTGATGTTCAGAATTCGATTCCCAGCCACCGCATCGTGGCTCACAACCATCTGTAATGAAATCTGGTGCCCTCTTCTGGCGAGTAGGCATATATGCAGACAGAACACTATATACATAATAAATAAAAATCTTTATAAAAAAAATTGAATATACCCAGAAAGTCTGGATTGTGTATATTATTGTATTTTCTTTGAATTTTTTGACTGTAAAGGAACTAAGCACAGAGAGACATGTCATTGTATGAACTGCTAAGTTAAACCAAAATAAAGGTGTCTTGACTTCAAAATGTGGGTCTAAGGATATGTTGCTTTGGAAAATAAATTCTTTTGTTTCCACAGAAGATGAAAACCTATGGATTCCTTCAAGACTAATGTGGTTTGATGTACCAAGATCCCCCAAAAGGTTGCCATGAACACCCCCCCCCCAATTACTTTGCCCAACAAGAAGCAGGAAGCAGTTTGGAGAGAACTACTTCAAATTCCCAAATATTGTTTATAAATGTTTGTTTAGATTTAAAGGGTGATATGCTATAGAAATTTGCATTGGTATGGATCTTGGTTTATTGATGCGAATTTAAGATCAATTTTGCTATATGTATATATCTGCTCTTGATTAAGATATTGTGTTTATGTAGCTCATTTAAAATGTAATGTATAATTAAGAAATAATGGTTACTAGATAATCATCTATAATAGTCAAGCTTGTAGTCATGTTAGTTAGGTTTTATAGATGTACAGAGATATATTTCAGATGGATAGGCATTCTTCAAACCTTTCAAAGACTACAGGATATGAAATTTAAAATGTTTTAAGAATTTAGACTTTTCATGACAATGAGACATGTCTGCTCCTGGCAACACCAATTACTTCAAGAGGAAGATGGGTATTGAAGAGGCTTCTTATGGAGTTGGCTAACCATTTGGGCAAGAAATTGTTCTTACCTGGACTGCTTGATGTTATGTTGTATAAACTGGACATGCAGGACCCACAGAGAAATGACTACTGAACTTGCCTAAAGGTGAGGGAGTGCTTTGGTGTTCCTGCTTCATGAAAGAGACTGCCAGACATTCTGCAGAACATAGAAAAAAGTGACTGCCAAACTCCCAATATAGACAAAACTGTCTTTGAAATTTCCTGCTTCATGGAAAAGTCTGCCAGATACTATAAGCCTGTAAGCTGAAGATTGATGCTCCAATGTTACAAAAGAACTTTGGGTGACTCTCCGGGCAGTGAGAGGTCTCTGTCAATTTTAGAGTTTTAAAAGTTGCTTACAATGCACTTCCTGTTTACCTAGGTAATATTATATCCATCTGGGGTCTTTGATAGAGTTGAAGAATATAGATAGTTATAGTTTTTCTTAGTTATGATAAAAGATAAAGTAGATATAAATATTGTAACTATAATTCTTGTTCAATAATTGTTTTGTTATATGTAATTTTTCCGTGTTAAAGTTAAAACCTTCCCTTTTTTAACAGAAAAGGAGAAATGGTGTGGGAGATCCTTCTGTCTATATGTTGCTTTTATTGGTTAATGAATAAAGAAGTTGTTTTGGCCAGTGGCTTAGCAGAATAGAGTTAGATAGGAAAAACTAAACTGAATGCTGGGAGAAGAAGGCAGAGTCAGTGAGACACTACGTAGCCCCACCGGAGACAGATGCTGGAACTTTACCCAGTAAGCCACAGCCTTGTGGCGATACACAGTTTAATGGAGGTGGGTTACTTTAAGATATGATTTAGCCAGAAATATGCTTAAGCCATTGACTAAACAGTATTGCAAATAATATGGTTTCTGTGTGGTTATTTCAGGGCTGAACAGCCAGGAACAAACAAGTGGTCTCCTACAACCCCTTTCCTCCCTGTTGCCCTCATTCCTATGTCTTAACCCTGACTTTTAAACTTTTACAGAAGTTCCTCCTGCATGGAATCCCCCATCCCCCACACGGCAGGAAGCAAAAACAATACTTCTCCTATAATCACTCCAGCCTCCCAAAATGTTTAAATGGTACCCCCTCTGCCATTAGGAAGCTGCCAGACAGCACATGACATTCTCTATCCTTTATATATAAAGGTTCTGGATTAAAGGAGAACCCCACTCCAAAGCCAGGCCATAAAAGAGGCCCAAGGCTTCAAGAAACCTGCCACCCATGGAGTTCTAGAAAGTGGACAGCCTCCGTGACATCCTCAGAGTCCGGAAGTCACAGAAACAGGCACTCTGACTGCTTATCTCCCAACTTGTAGTTAAAAAAAAGTTAAATAAAATAAAACAAAAAAACCCCTACTTTCTTCCCTAGGGACACCAGGTCCTTCCACTCCCTACTTTCAGGCCCAGCATGGTGTGTTCTGTACGCTCTGATATTGAGCTACAGGGTTTAAGGAAACCAAACTCTCAGAGTAATCAAGGCTGCTGTTGAGGGTTTGTGGTTAAAAAAAAGTGATGCAAGGGTGGGGGAACTGGAGAGCCGGCTCGGCAGCTCAAACACTTGTTGCTCTCGCAGAGGCCACAGGTTCAGTTCCCAGCACACACAGTGGCTCGCAACTTACAGAGTTACCATCTGTAACTCCAGTTCCGGAAACCTGTTGCCTTGCTCTGACCTCTGTGTTCACCAGACACCCATGTGACACAAATGTATACCTACAGATAGACAAAACACTCATATACATAAAATAAACAAATCTAGAAATATTTTTTAAACTAGCAAGTGTGACGAGAGCTGTCGAGATGGCTCAATGGGTAAAGGTGCTGGCTTCCACGCCTGGCAGCCCGAGATTGATTTCTAGGCCCCCACATGGTGGAAGAAGATAATTGATTCTTGAAACTTGTCTTCTGGCCTCCACATGTGCACTCCGGCGGGTGAACCCGTACACACGCATGCACAAAGATGTAATTAAAAAGTGACCAATTGATAAAATTTCAGTTGCTCACAAGGAATTATATGACAAAATAGTATATTAAAATGTGGGTCATACCAGGAGTGCTTTGATATCAATTAAAAGTCACCAAACACAATTATTTCCATGAAACTATTTTGTCCATTTCTACCTAATTTATCTTTAACAAGATCACAAAGATCTGGTGGCGACCCATCTGGGATGTCACTGCCTTCCTGGGTCACCTCTGCAGTTCTCTATATTTATCTTGCCCCTTCACAAAGCACCGTTGGTGTTTGGAAAAATGGTTTTGTAAAAGTTGGTAAATTGCTAGGTAAAACCATTTTCTCGGATAATGGTGTGCCTGACACTTTAAACATCTGAGAACTCCCCAAGTGCTTAGATCTCAGGTGGAGGAGGTCAGATAATGTCCCTGGAGATGGCTCCTATTAGCTGGTCTTTGGGTGATGTAAAATACAAGACGAGGGTGGAGAGATGGGGCAGAAGCCGCAGAATCCTAAGCAGTCCTGCAGATTGCCGAGCCATGCATCCCTGCTGCTTTTGTCTATGCAGGGGGAGGAAATTGAATCTGCGAGGGAAACATCCAGGGCCTGTGAGGAGAATGTGACAGGCTCAAATTCTGCTTCTCAAACAATCCCTGGCTCAGATTTTAGCTCAGAAAGCTTTTGGAAGCTCTGATTTTAGCATTTTTGATTTGGGCACATTTAAATGTTAATGGGTGTCTTTTGTAAGTCACTAAACTCATTTGGAAACAGTCGTAGGCTGTTTTGAATATGGTTTTTTTTTAATTAGTCTGGAATGTGCTTCCTCTTTTATGTATTTTTTAAAAATACCTGTAGAGTAAATATTAATGATTTTATTAATAATCACGCTGCTATTTTCAGTGTGTGAGGGACTGTGTTGAGTTGCTGGTGTATGTTAAGCAGCTCTTGCTGACCCTGGAACTGAACCTCAGAGAATCTGAACACAGAGGCCAGCTGCACAGGTCCACTGTGGGTGGCCCATTCCCTTAAACCTTCATAGACCACACTGCTACACT